AATTACACTGAAATCAAAAAGTACTATTTTTTTGGACAAACTAAAGTCACTCCATCGCAGCCATATCCTGCTGCCAGCCAGTCAAGCTAGAGTTTAAGTGTTTTCAATTTTCCCAATAATGGGAGATGGGAGTTTCGTGATCGAGGACTGTTTCAGCCACAAACATCGAGTACAAATCTTTAAAAGCTTTCCTGTTAAGTAAGTCTGATGGCTGTTTTTAGGAGCCCTGAGATCCACATGGCACCGACCTACTGATAAACAGACAGCAGCCCCTCTACACATCTATCCACACGTCTCAGGAGAGATGGCTGGCAGTAATTAATACTTATTTACTGAGGGGACAGGCTGTTAACTTTTTCTCTTTGTCTCATATGACTCAATAACAATTAGAGAAGCTGTGTACTCCTGTAAGTGTTTGGAAAGTGTCCTTCTGGAGCTCCGGTAATGATCCACTCTGCTGACAGGAAGAGGCTGGCTGCAACAGGTTACAGCAATGTCTGCCTTTACCTTATATTTATTAAGATTAATGTGGAAAAAAACAACAAAAATAAGGTGAAGACACTCCAACTACATCTAACTGCAGCTACATCGTGTATACATACACTGAATATTCATATACGAGCTGTGCACTGTGGTTCCTTCTCTGCCTCCTTGTCCTTCACCAACATGTGAGGTGCTTCTGCTGTGAGACACGTTATCGCAGAGATGCAGATGGCCCTGATGGCGTCCTTTATTAGTGACTATAAAGCATTAATTTAGATTTATATGGCGCCGCTGCAAACAAGGTGACTAAATGACTGCAGCTAGGAATTCTGGGTTGTATAAAAGGTGTCGCGCTGACCCGGGCTAATGGCGACTCTGCTGAATATCCCAGCGTGTCACCGACAGCCGAGCAGCGGGCAGGTACACCATCACTCATGTTTGGTGTAAAAACCGTGGCTCTCTGGACAACGAGGTGACTGCAGTTGAGTGGCAACAACTGTGACAAGGCCGGAGCCGAGGGCGGCGGGCGGGGCACCGACGCACCGGCCAGCTGCTACCCCTGACATCAAATGCACCCCGTCCTCGCTCAGGGCAGCGCATGTGACTGCAGGTGCGTCCGGGGATCGGTGAGTAATGGTCAGGAGGGGAGGCAGGGTCTCCTGTCTCATGTGGTCAGTGTCAGCGGATACCGAGACCCAGGGACACAATATGAAAAACAACTACACAACAGACATTTTCCAGATGGTAGAATTACAAAATATGGGGCTACGAGTACGAGCGCACCAGCTCGCAAACAAGCTTCTTATCCTTCATTTGTTCATATTTGTTCATATTCTGCATGCAGCCTATTTGCTCCAGCACATTCACTTCTCTTTGGTTGTTTGTCTGAACATCACACTCAACAGCATTCACAAAAAGAGACTCAATTCTAGTGGGACAATACACTGACTCGTCCTCAAGACGCAGCAAACAACTGTAAATCAGACTGTCTTTGTACACTGGGAAGGCTGCTTGCTGCTCTGCACCAAAAACAAAGATGCACAACTGGACAGAGCAAAGAAAAGGATCCAAGCCGATAATGAGGATTGATGGTGTGATGGACAAAGTAGGCCACGACGAGCACCAAGACATCTGTGCACAGGTCAGTACTTGGACTCGTGGTGTTACAGAAGGTTATTAAGTCCTCATTTTAAAGTGTAACAAAGTGGAAACTGCTGGATGTAAAACAGGACGTGAAAGAGTCGACACGAAACACAAAAATGTCGTCTCTCGTAAAGAGGTCGACTTGCTTCTGGATTGTTGTGGAGCGCTTTTATGTCTGAGAACAGTACTGACCTTTACAGACACTGACTGAATGTGTGCTGTTTGTGTAGTTGACTAAATGTATGTGACTGACAGAGCTGTGTGGTGTGAATGTCACTACAGGAGAAGTGTTAATTGATCATAGAAGATCATTTCCAGACAAAAGGAAAGACTGGAAATTCTGATATGCTTCACTAGTTAAATGTGCTGCAGGACTGTATATGTCCAGCTGATAACCGGCCTCTTCCCCCGGTGTATCCGTCTGTTTATACATGTTGGTAGCTTTGAAGGGTTTTTAACTTTTAGCAGGTCGTATCAGTATTTATCCTATACTGGTAATATGGGCAGCTGAGAGGCCCGTGCAGTTATATTTAACTACTAATTTTAGCATTATTTCACATTTTTATCCCTCTAAGAGCCGGTTAATGACATGATCACGTTACTTGTGAATAATTCATTCACTCTAATGTTCAGTAATCAGCTAGCCTGATCTATTTCAGCTGCTTCAGCCCAGCAAGGTGATGCAGAAATTCATCCACAGGACGAGAGACTCACTGGAGACGCAGCTGATTTTGATGCTCACGTTCAGAGAGAATTATTTAATAGTTCGTTTAATAAGCACGTCTGCTTCTCTTCTCTGCCAAAACTCGACCTAAAGTACAGCAGACCCAGAACAAAATAAGTACGACAAGTTTATCTTTGGCTTTTATCAACAACTTCAAAGTAATTTCGATGGTTTAAGCCCCGCCCTACAAGAAAAACAGGCTGGTTTTTCTTTTTTAACGATTTGTTGTTCCAGTATCTTCTCTTGTCCACTGGAGCTGTTTTAAATCATTATCCCGTGTTGTTTGCAGCCCTGCAAAAGTGACACGACCAATCAATTGCAGAGCCAGGGGACGCTGAGACGAGGAAGAGGGAAGGATGCAGCTAAAACCGGCGTGTTATTTAGTCAGACGATGGACAGACCGCGAACGCTGTTGTGTCTGCGTGCGTTTACGTGAGCGAGCGTGCGGTCGTACGGGGGCGGCGGGACTGCCATGATTCAGTGGTGTTGTGATTTTACCGGTGGACCCAGGACGGGCGGTTTATTTTCATCCGTCGCCGTGTGAGTGACGGTCCAATCAAGCTTGGGACGGGCTGTCAAGCCTGTCAGGCTGAGGAATGAGAGGAGATGGGAATCAAAGACACGGAGCAGGACCGAACCATGATGGACGGACCTTAAACGCAGCAGCCACACAGGCAGGTGAAGGCAGGAGGGAGGGTGAAAGAAACTCTGAGGGAGACGCCGATAAAATGGAAATATGCGCGTGTGGAAAAAGAGGCTGCAGAAATAGAGAGGTCAAAGAAAGCGAGGGGAGAAAATAGTGAAAAGAAAAACAGCACGTTACGAGGGAATATTGTAGGAATGTTTTCTTACCAATCCATCGCATGAGTGAGGTGAGAATCTGGAGATACTTTGTCTTCTGGGCGTTGAAGAAGGTGAACGGGCCCAACAAAACAGTGAACACGCTCTGTGGGAACAGCAAATGGGAAAGCACATTTAGCTAGCTGAAGAAGGAACATTCATTAATTAAGAAGTGCTTTACATTTCTTAATTAGGTCAGAAATCAATCACAGTCATGTAAAAGCTCCCATATGGAAAAGATATATATAAATCTTATAAAGTTTGTATCTGTCTTGTGTGAAACTTGTATGAAAAGCATACAAGAGTGAAAACTGATTAAGATCCCTTGAAAAATTATATAATGAAACTTGTATGTTTTGGATACTTGCTAAAAAATATATGAAAGTAATGAGAAAGTGGCCACTTTCATGAGTAAATCATATATGTTTTTACTATTTCTTTTCCATATGGGCTGTTAAACCATAAGAGATGAAAAATACGGAGAAAGTAGACAGAAGCACTTTTTATTAACCTCCAAAATTGGAAAAATAGCCACAGAAAAACCACCAATGCAAACTAAAACGGCCCATTACAGTAAAATCGCTCAAGAAAAATAAATGTCAGAGGAAAAAAGGTCAATAAAATATAAAAATGACTCAGAAAAGTAACAAAAGCTCAATAAACTAGAAAAAATATATCAATTATCAATAATAATAATTGTTCTAATGAATATGTCCAATATATTGTGCAGAGTAACGCAAACAGTGCAGGATCCTGAAACTAGATCAAGAGATTAACAGTAAAGTCACGTTTCCTGTGTTACATGAATAATAACCTGTCAGTTAATCTGTTAAAAGAAAGAAAATCACTTCTGCTCGTCTGTATTACTGGATCAGACTGTGAAGCCACTGTAAAGTATCTCTTGTGTTCTTACACTGGGCCACAGTTCACCTTCTGTCTGATACAGGTCGTTTTAGCTCCTCCCCCTTTAATCAACAATATTCTGATCGGCTGTCACTCATGAACATGTTTGGGCTTCTCTGCTCACAGGAATTACTCGCACATACACCGACCCCGTTATTTGAAACTGTGGCCACCATTATAACGAGATATGTCAGGGGTTTCTTGTATATGAAAAGCAAAAATACACTTTTAATTTTCAAATGACCAAAAACAACTATCTCCCCATTTTAAGCCAGAAAAATATCCCAACAGGAAGGAACGAAAAAACACTTTCTGGCTTCAGCATCGCAGCTTTTCCCAACTCCTGAGTTGGGCTGATCCTGCAGACTTTAGCCAGCAACTCTTTTTTTGTCTCGCAGTTGTGACACTGACATGCAATTCTGAAACGCCATCGAAGACGCAACATTCCTCAAGTGCTGTCAAAATCCCATCAGCGCTCTCAAAGATGGGTGAAAAGATGAAGAGGTGGCCCGATCCATAGTACAACAAAAATTTCAAATCCTCCCAGGCCACAGCTCTGATTGCCTATCAGATACTTTCTTTATCAAGAGCTGCAATCAGACGCAGCTCAGCTACTGTAGCTCCATTCCCATCAGCTCCCATCACTCCCTCTCCCCCACGCCTGCAAACGTATTCCCTTCATCCGTCTCTTCCATATCCCCGCTCTCTGACACGCTCAGGTCTGACTGCACAGTTTGAGTGGCATGTGATCTCCGAGGCAGTCGCTTGTGTGCTTTTTCATCTGAAGAGCAGCCTGCAGGCTTTCAAAGAGAGGACCTCGCCCTCCCATCAAACGCATGAGGACAGACACACACTGACACACACACACCTCTGCAAGAGCGCAGGATTTCAGCCCAGCAATGGAGGTGCACAAACAGGCTGCTTAACACCTTCCAAAGTACTTGAAAAATAAAAAGAACGAGGCGAATTTAGCACTTTTAAAATGTTGATGAAAAAACACCGAGTGCCAGCAGTGTATCCCTGAACGAGGCACAAAATCAAATAATACCAGAGTTTGTATAAAAGGGTGGGTGGATGGTAGCACAAAGGTGCTTTTATAATGTTTGAAGACATCGATGGAACTGCTACAAATGGCTTTCTCGTTTTTTCTTTTTACATTTTCAGACCTTTACTGTCCCCAAACGATGGGTAATAATGACTTCAGTGCTATTCTTTTACAGCAACACAAGTTTATATCAGTTTTTTCTCCACACGTATAAAATGTCTCAGGAACTATGTGATGGATTTGTTCAGACACTGAGAATGAATACAACAACGTGGCCTGTCCACATCCTATTGATCCAGAACTGGCTGCAATCCAGGAGCACCTGCAGTCCTCAACGGAGTGAATGAAGCTGAAACACTTTACATCTGCTGCTAAACATAAAAAACTCCCAGTTTATTTTAGTTTTCACAAATGTAACATGACTGCATGTTAGCATCCTGCTAATGCATGCTAACTGGTTGGTTAAAGACTCATCACTCTCTTGATGGTAACTGTTTCC